ACTAGCCCTACCTCCATTTGCATATTCCGGGGCTATGTAACCAAAAGTCCCTACCACTCCTGTTGTCTGAGTCCTGAACCGTGGATCCACGAGCTTAGCAATCCCAAAATCACCAAGCTTAGTCTTGAAATCGTAGTCTAACAATACGTTAGCTGATTTGATATCCCTATGCAGGATACACGTCTCTGCATCTTCATGTAGGTAATGAACGGCTGTGGCCAAGTCTAAAGCTATCTTGTACCTGAAATCCCATTGCAAGGTTGTTCTAGAGCCGAATAGATGCGTGTCAAGGCTGCTGTTAGGCATGTATGCATAAACAAGTAAGCACTCGCCTTGCTCATGACACCATCCAATGAATTGCACCAGGTTCCTGTGTATTAAGCGGCTTATTATTTTCACTTCGTTGATGAAGACTTTCTCATAGTGCTCGGATTCTGGGACGATTCTCTTCACAGCAACTGTGCAGCCTAGATCTTGTATGATTCCTTTATAAACTTTCCCTGACCCTCCTTGGCCTAGCCTTCTGTCGTTTGCAAAGTCATTGGTGGCTGCAACTAATTCTTTGTAAGAAAATCGTCTTGGCAAGGCTTGCCACACAAGATCTGTGGAGGCTACTGAATTGGAGTCATTTCCATGTTCATCAATCCTGTTTATCTGCCTCTTTACCACCAACCAGCATATGGCTACACCAACAATCAAAATGAAGACAGAAACTTCAACGGCCACAATCGAGAATAACCTCCTCTCCTTTTTGGTACTTAACTCCTTTGAGTTTGATCCGAAATCCCATGTATATATAGCATTCCGCTCTCGGGCACAGCCATTGGCAGTTGAAAATCCAATTGTAACCCACTCTGGGAGAACCTCTTTCAGGTCAATATGGTGAGAAAGCGAAGTGATGGCCACATCAGAATATGTCAAATACACAGTGAGGTTCTTGATGGTAGCATTGTAAGTTATCTGTACGTGAGCCGTCTTCCCACTATTGCCGAGAGCATCCCAACTGGCATTAACAACTGAGGAGATGCAGCCTAGATCTTGTATGATTCCTTTATAAACTTTCCCTGACCCTCCTTGGCCTAGCCTTCTGTCGTTTGCAAAGTCATTGGTGGCTGCAACTAATTCTTTGTAAGAAAATCGTCTTGGCAAGGCTTGCCACACAAGATCTGTGGAGGCTACTGAATTGGAGTCATTTCCATGTTCATCAATCCTGTTCATCCGCCTCTTTACTACCAACCAGCATATGGCTACACCAAGAATCAAAATGAAGACAGAAACTGCAACGGCCCCAATCGAGAATAACCTCCTCTCCTTTTTGGTACTTAACTCCTTTGATCTGAAATCCCATGTATATATAGCATTCCGCTCTCGGGCGCCACAGCCATTGGCAGTTGAAAATCCAATTGTAACCCACTCTGGGAGAACCTCTTTCAGGTCAATATGGTGAGAAAGCGAAGTGATGGCCACATCAGAATATGTCAAATACACAGTGAGGTTCTTGATGGTAGCATTGTAAGTTATCTGTACGTGAGCCGTCTTCCCACTATTGCCGAGAGCATCCCAACTGGCATTAACAACTGAGGAGATGGTATTGATATTGATCCCAACGTGTGGAGTGGGTGGATCCCATGAGTTTGACAAAGTGTCAAACTCAACCATTACAATTCGGTTTAGGGATGCTTGGTTAAAACGAGTGGTGCTGTTTAATAATCCTAGATCACCACCAGCAGAGTTTGGTGGAATTGGATAGTGAACAGGGGCAAGGAAAAACACAAGTCCATCAGCAATGTTGGTATCATTATCAACAGTGTCGATAATGAAAGAGAAATTAGTAGTGAAGTCTGCCAGTTTAGCAGAGTCCCATAAGTGCAAAGGTTCTGCATACGTAGCCCGGCCAGTGCGGCAACTTATATCCTGTACATCTGTGGCTGTGATCGTGCTGAGTTCAATCACTTCTGAAGAAAGCGCGGCATCACCTTCATAAAGTATGTTGTTTGCATCTCGACCAAAGTCATTGATGCTGAAGGAAAGTGGATGAACAAAGGGTTGGAAAAAATTGAAGAACATGAAGAGAACAACAGAGCAGTTTATCAAGGATTGAAGACGGAAAGTTGATAGCCTGCTTAGAGACATCGCAATGCAACCAACAACAAGAACGTTAAAATCTGCAATGCAAGGAATAATGGTAATGTATGTGGCAACTATAATGAAGAAGTCAGAATTATGAAGAGGGTAATGAAGACCAAGGATTGCCATGTTTTAAAGGGAAAGAAGCCCAAGACTTTGACGTTGAAAACAAAAGCACAAAGAAATTGAAATGGTCCATGTTCAAAAAATAAATATCAAGAAATGGTCCATGTTAGAGCATCTACAATCATAGTCCTTATTTTTTGGTTAAAATTTAGCTAAAAACACACAAAAGTTATTTTAGGAGCTCTCTATAAAATTTGAACTCCAATCATACTCCCTAGTTTAGAGAGTCATAAATACTATAGTTATTTTTTAATTCAATATGATTGGTCCATCTCTATAAAAAATAATATTAAAAAAACAGCATTAAATTATAGGAAGCCACTATGAGTCATTTCTCTTTTCTCAGATTTAAGAGCTCCTAGAGGTCTCCCTATTTTAGGAGGTGGATAGGGAGCATGGTTGCAGTTGGATTTTTTCAATTCCTCCCTAAAATTTGTCTAAGGAGGTGATTTAGGGAGCCCATTGTGAATGCCCTTAGGTATTCTCGACACGCTGCAAGATGAAATCAATTGAAAAAACACCTAACATGGACCATACTAGTGTTTGTGTCGAGAACATACAAGTGTTTGTGTCATAAGATAATTTTCACAGCATTTCTGCTGATACATAGAAATGCCAAATACTTCACCTCTTACCGTCCATTTTAAGATATCTAGTGTAAGGAAAAAAAAACCCATACATATGACAAATACATACAAAATAATTGAGATATTAGAGCACCTCCACCCCAAAAGGCAAGGCAAGGGCAAGAAAAAAAAAAGATTATGCAACAAAATATAAACAATTTAGAAATGTAAGAAATAAAATGATTATGCAAGAAAAAAATAAATATGAAAGAAAATATAAACAATTTACAAATGCAAGAAAAAAAATGATTACAATTAACAAATATTGGAAGGAGAAGAGTTTGTATGAGGATTTGGTGTGGAAAGTGAATAAAATTGTAATGTATTTATAGGGAAAACATCCATAATTTTTTGGTACTTTTTTTAATTTTGATTTTATTTTTTTCGGTTGACGTCAGCGCCTTTGGGCTTGAGTCCAGGCATAAATTGCCCGTGGGCTTGCCAGGGTTGGTGGAACCCAGGACTTGCCCAGGCTGCATGTCGAGCGCTGGAGGGTCTTTTAGACTGGTAGGGGGCCTTTTGCCCGGGATGGTGGCATGCGTTGCACTTGCTCTTAATCAATCTTCAAAGTAACAGCCCCATAGGTCCACCTAAAAACTATTCTAGAAAATAAGTTGTTGGCTTCATCAAACCATTTGACACTTCATTGACGGATGAATGTTTTCGTGTAGTGTGAACTTATTAAATTGTAATGAATAAAAGCTAAAGAGAAAAAAAAAATTCAAAAATCAAAAATTTAAGGGCCACATAGGTAGGTAGGTGGCAATATTTGCTTTGCATGGGGCAGCCATATTCCATATGTTGTCTTTAATGTGCGACGTTACTAACACTGTGACGTTAAGAAAGGCAAAAACGTTTACGTACAAAGCCAACGCACCTTGCTTTGACGTTTGACAAAAGCATAACGGTTTATTCCGTTTGATTTTAATATCCATGTCAATTTGCCGTATAATAATGAACCAAACATGTGGATGACCAATAAAATTATTAAGAAACTAAAATTATATAAAAGCTATTTCTTTGAAAAAAGGAGAGAGATTAAAAAAAAAAAAATTTATAAAAGAATAAACAAATCCATGCAATGCAAGTATCTGCTGTGAATATTTCCAAAGTGGGAAAGTACAGCAACCTTGTAAGATGAAGCTTCAACCTTGCATGAAGGGTAGCTGGGTGGATTCCCTGAGCGGTGGGCCCACAGTACTCAAGTGGATCAAACAATGTGTGTCATCTGAGGTAGAGAAAATAATAGTTTGGAATATGCAAAGGAGGTGTAATTGGCAATGGCAATGGCAATGGGAATGCCATGTGAACTCGTGAAGGAAATTCTAACGTGAGAACCCAACTATAATGAAGAAGTCAGAATTATGAAGAGTGTAATGAAGACCAAGGATTGCCATGTTTTAAAAGGAAAGAAGCACAACACTTTGACATTGAAAACAAAAGCCCAAAGAAATTGACATGGTCCGTGTTCAAAAAATAAATATCAAGAAATGTTCCATGTTATGTGTTCTCGTCACGCTGCAAGATGAAATTGACATTGAAAACAAAAGCCCAAAGAAATTGA